CATATAAATTTTAGCTTCTTTTTCTTCTTTAATGTCCAGCATTGTCCAATATATCTTACTAAAGTCATTAATATTATTGTCACAATTAAGAATGAATTTTTCATATTGCCGTTTTCCCTCCTCATTCTTGAGATAAATTCTATTTCTTGTAAAAAAAGTGTCAAAATAACCGTTAATTAGTTGATTTGCATTATAATCCCATTCTTGAGATGATTAGCATTTAAGTATCAGTTGGTTGTAACGATTATTTGTTTTTGCATATAATGCTCATGAAATTTGCAATTGCTATGTTGTCCATATAACAGTCGACACTTTCTGGTCTGGCATTTAAGTACTTTTAAGCTAGTCTTTCCTGCATACCCCCACTACTTTGAAGTTTGAGATTGAAAAGTTGAGACGGAAAATTTTCAGCGTATATGGGAAAAGAAGGCCCAAACACATGAACTCTTATGAGCTTGAGTAGTACAAATTTGATTTTGCATTGTCGTATAATATCAAAGTTTCACAACTGTATCCACTTAAGTTTTACAAAAATATATAATTTATTTACTTAAGAAGAGGCTTAGAGGCATGCCATTTTGTCCTTTGCTCATTAAGAAAGCTACGAAAGAGAAGGGAAATTAAGAGAGATAAGATGGGAGGTTATGAGAAAGTGCCAACATTGACATTTTCACCATGATGGTGGCCAGCAAAATTTTACTTCGACAGTGTTGAGGAAGAACTAGGAAATTAAATCTAAGAAAAAGGCATTACGATTTTGTCCTTTCTTTCAGCAGGAAAGGTGAGAAAAAAGGGGGCAGAGTCGCAGAGAGATATAACAGTGGAGATTGTAACAAAAATAAATGTGATCACCATTTTATCTTCCTTCTTTTCTGTCAGCTTCTAGCTACTCTACTTAAGGCTCGAGCATGTTCATCCCCATGCTCAAGGGCAACGTCGAAACTCAAGTTGAATAAATAAATTAAATTTCCCAAATTTCTTATCTAGTTCGAATCCTGCAAGTTGGAATGACAATGTGCTCTATATTGTTCTGGTTTCACTATTTGTATGTTTTATACAAAAAAAAAAAAAAAAAAAAAAAAAAACCACATCATGTAGAAATGAATGTCAATAATCCATGATAAACATGTTCTGTAATTTGAATGTTAAGGAGAAGAAATCTTATTCACATTAACTTACCAGAATGTACAGTAAAACTTCCTCTCAAGACAAAATTTTGCCTGGAGAAGTACTGGAGACCCACAATCTGCAATAACATTATTCAAACCAGCTCCTAAGCTCCTGGCATTTCACGTTGTAATCAGCTGCAACTACAGCCTACCTAGAGTGTCATTGCTGCACTCTCTACTCCTAACTGATGAATTTCCATCATAAGAGGACGGAGAAGAGTTAGTGGGAGGTGAAATGGAAATTAAGGAACATTTATTCCATAATTCTTTTTTTGGAAATGAAATATTCTTGTGGTGTGAAATAGCATTCCAGCCGCCTTTCTGTTTGTGTGCACATGTACAATTGCGATGATATGTACCAAAACATCACGTCTGCTGCTCCAGTAGCCATTCTCTTCTCTTGTATCTTAAAATTTTCGAATTTTCTTTGCAAATTTGTGTGTTTGAATTAGTGTATATATATTGAAGTGTGGGAGAGAGTGTTGAAAATGTGGCATTTTCTTTGAAGGTTTATATGGTGCAAGAGATTTTATTTCAACTATTAGGACAATGGTAGAATACGAGTAAGCATAATTCAGAGAAGAATACGATGCAGTACTCCTGCGTCAAGTTCAAGAGAGATCTTTCAACAATGAGTTAGCTTTGCTCCATGTTAGAGGTAAGCACATTTTCCAAGGAATAGTAGCTATGGGGCCTAAAAGGTATATCCAAGTGAGACAAAATTGGCTATAAGTCAAGAGAAGTTCAAGAATGACATGGATCACTTGGTTTTTGTTTCCATTTGTTTGGATCCGTTAGTTCATGTGGTTGTCGCATAGTCTACTCCGGTGAATATGATGCTGCCATAATAATTTTGTTCATGTGGTTGGGAAAACAAGTCCCACTAAACAAAGAATCTTGTCCTCTGTTTTGACTTCATTTGATTCTTTATTCTTGGATCACTGATGTTGTGTTTGAAGACAAAATACTGCAGTAAATTAAGTAGTTTGCTTTGATCATGTTAAACTTTTCTTATTGTGTCAATCACTGTCAGTCTGAGTGCCTTGTTTTAGAGTCTGCCGACTACAAATTTTATTTTAAGGTTATATTCTTTTACTAAGAGCCAAAAGACACTTGTATATGTGATGAAGGCTAGATGACAGAATCACTTGCTAAGTGTGAAATATAATTTGTCAGTATTAATACTCTGATACCTATTTTCATGTTTAGAACTAAAGATGATTTAAATTTCTCGTTGTCTGGTAAAACTCGATAGTCATTCATATGTTGAACTACATAAGATTAATAAAGAGAAATGAACTAATATATATGCATTACCTTGTCCAGTCTAATCCTACACTGTCCGACATACAGTTAGGATCTGTTACATATGCTAAAGTCTTATTTTTCATGTTTTACCTGATGTGCTTTTGCTGTGGTCCCTGTTGGACAATGTATCTCTGCATGTACAAAGACCTATTAGGTTGCTATACTCACAACTGCTTCGATTTAATTAAAGAACATTACTCAAATTATAAGACCTTGTGATGATCAGAAAATTTGTTTTGGTTTGTGGGTTAGTTTGATCTTTACATATCCGTTCCATTGTTGCATTCGATCTGTCACTTGTTTCAGTTTTCTTTATCCACTTAGTTCACTGCTCAGTTACTGCAACTCGTGTCTCAATACAGGAAAGCTGTCTTCATTTCTGTCAAAATCAAGTTATGTCCCCAAACTCTTAAGACGCGATCTATTTTCTGGATAAATGTGTCAAAAGTTACCCTTAGTTAACCGATTTGCATTATCCGACGTGACATATTATTGTGATAATATATAACTATTAGGTTCCTCCCCAAACTTGATTAGTAACAAACCCTCTTTTGCCAAATTGTGAGCTAGTTCACCATGCCAATCAATGTTTCTCTTTTGCAATTTATAATTCATTGAACTTCAAACCAAACCAAACTGTGAATAATGGCATTCCAAAATAAATTAAAATGCATTCTACAAAATGGAAGAGGGACTACATATCAGTTGTACTCTACCTACTCAGCATTCTGACGAAGGTGAAAAACCGGTATACTTCTCTTTAACTGTTAAAAACTTCACTTAATTACCTGTAACAGTTAGTTCCTGGAATGTGATTCCGTACTTTGGAGATCGTACTTATGAAAATTCTAGGTTGGCTTTTAAGTAGTAAATATTCTTGTATTCCCCTGCTAATTCTTGCGGAGAAAAATTCCCAGGTTAAATGGGAAAATAACGACCAATAACACAATTTCAATAATACAAGGAGTACGACATGCAAAAGTATTCACTTAATCACATGTTCGAGTTTAGATCCTCTTACAATATCAAAGTTTTGTTCAATACTCGTAAATTATCGATATTATCATCATCATTGAAGACACTTTTTAATTTGACAATATAATGGAAAAAATGTTGAAAATGTAACAGGTAAGCTGAGAAAGGAGGGGAAATAAGAGAGAGATATGAGAAGTGGCGAGAAAGTGCCAGCATTGGTATTGTCACCATCACCACAGCCACCAAATTAATGTGCTTTTGCAAATTTTTGTGCGTGTGAATCGGTGTGTCTTTAAAAGTGAGGGAGAACTTGTTGGAAATGTGGAATGTTTCTTGAAGGGTCTATAGAGCAAAGGATTATACATGAGCGACTAGAACAACGTAAGTGTAAGAGCAACCTTAATTTGATAAAAGAGTAGAAGCAGTGCTCCAGCGTGAAATTCAAGAGTACTTTCGACAATGAATTAGCTTTCCTCTATGTCAGAAGTAAGCACATTTTCCAAGGAGAATCTTGAGTAGTAGCTGTGGGGCCTAATAGGTATGTTCAAGAGAGACAAAAGGGGCTATAAGACGAGCAGCCGAAGAATGAAAGGATCACTCGGTTCTTTGTTCCTTTTGTTTTGGACCCTTCAGGGCTTTGCATAGTCTATTCCGGTGAATTGAATGCTGCCATTTTAGGACCCGTCTTGAGGTAATGTTCCTCTGCTAAGTAGTAGATTTCTGATCTTTACAGGCTGCAGGTGGGGCTTGGCTGTGAAAGGAGTGCCCAACTTCTGCGGCTCCAATGGTTTGAATTTCAATTTTAATTAAGGAAGAAACAGCTCCAGACAGACATTTAATATTGTGCACGTAACGAGAAAAACTAGTTTTACTAAATCAAGAATCTTTATTGCACCGTTGCATTTGTTAACAAACTACGTTCTTCCTCAAACGAAATGTCAACTGTCTATTATATGCTGTTGAAGACATTTAGCCCCTGTTTGATTTTCACTCTTTGAAAAAAATACATTTTTAAACAGTATTTTGATATCATTTCAGTCACATATTTTTCAATAAAATAATATTACACGTAAATCCAAAATTTGTTCTTATTTTTTAGTCATACATTTCTCATAATACACTATTCAAAAATTCATTTTTATAAAAAGAATGGGGCGCAAACAAGGGTTAGTTTGTGCTTGTCATGTAGCCATATGGCAAAGTTTTGTTCTTCTGTCCAAGCAAACCATTACACATATTAACTAATTGATTGGCCCCCTTGATTCTCATTTCTGAAACCCGGTTCTTTTCTAGCTACCAATTAATAGAGATATTATTCAATGGCGGATTTAGGCACGGGCAGCCTGTGCTTGCCCTAGCCCAAATCCATTAAGCCTTTTTTTTTTTTTTGGTTGAGCCCCTATCCTTTTTTATCTTCAGCCTGTGTCCAATAAGAAAAACACTTGCGCTATCCAAGCCCAAATCAAAACTTATAACCAAAGCAAAATTATATTTACTGGCCCAAAGCCCCAAACCTAAACCTAATGCTAAGTCTCCCTCTCCCTCAACGAGCTTTCAAATTTCAATCTCCTACTTTCACGCCATACGTTTCCCCCGAAATCTTTATCACAACTACGTACCATCTAGGTTATAAAAGCCAAAATTCACTTACCAATTTTGTTCAAAAAATCGAATTACCCCTTCATTTTTTTACTTTCTCGTTTTCCTATTTGTCTTGCAAGAACAATCAAACAATGGTGAGAACGGTAAAGCGGGAATTGATGGACAATCGAGCAGTTGAATACCTCACCTTTAAGAATCGGATTAGCGGTAATTTGATTTCCCATCATTTTAGCAATTTCTTTCTTTGTTTTTGTATTTCAATTTTGAGTTATTTATTTATTTTGTATATTCGGGCCATTAATGTCTCTGTTTTTTTCCCCATATTTGTTTACTTTGATTAATTCGTATTTAGTGAAAAAATTGATGAAAGCTCATTGCAAAAAAATTTTATACTTCGATTTGTTTTGTCTTCATATACTGGAAAAAAAAAATTGAGTGTTTTAATCTTTAATTTAATTTTCTTCCAGAATGGGTGCTTCTGAGAAGTGGATAAAATCACTCATTGGTCTGAAGAAGTCGGGATCAAATGACCGTGCAAGCTAATAATCTTTGTATTATCTTTATATGATTTTTTTTGGTGTTTTATGCAATGATTTTTATATTGAACTGTGTTGAGGGCTTGAGCCTAATAATCTTTGTATTATCTTTATATGATTTATATGATTTTTTTGGTGTTTTATGCAATGATTTTTATATTGAACTGTGTTGAGCTTAATTCATATGTAATGGTGTGTTTGGTTGGGCTTAGTAGTTGTTGTTGACTTCTTTTTGCCTTGTTGGTTTAATGATTGCTATTGTTGTGTCGCCCATGAGTTGCTCGACGAAAATGTCCGCTTGTTTCGTGCTAGACTGCTAGGGTTCGCCCCGAAACAAGCACGAGCCACCCATAGGCCGAGTCCCAATGGTCGAACTGACGATATCACTGTTTTGCCCGTGCTCGCAAAATTCCTGGATCCGCCTCTTATATTATTTCAATTTTATGACATGCAGAATATTAATGGTAATGGTGACTGTCCGTGGGAATATCTTCTTATGCGCCAAGTTTTATTTGGTAGCGATACCGAAGAATCATTTTTTCAAATAATTTAAAGAACAGCAGTGACAAGAAAATTGGTTTTAGCTGGGGGTTAATTAGTTTGATCTTTCCAATTTCGTTTAATAATCATTCCACTGTTGGAAAAATTTTAATTTGTTATGTGGTCCTACATATGTAATTAATTGTGTATAAAGCTATCTTAAAGTTAATCCCAAAGTTAAAGTGATCTAATAAAGAGATTCGCTTTGCTACCAAAAATCCTGTGTTCACTGAATTGGTTGCAATACGAAAATTGTGAGGCTTAAGGATCTAAATAAAGTGTGTACTGGATTATATGTGTAAAGATCAGATTCCTTTATAATTATATTTCGTGATGGAGAAATATTTAAATACTTATGATCCCTAATTCATATCCAACTCTAATTGTTCGTGTTATCTCATCTACACAAGAATACAAGAGAAAACATATTGGAGAGGGAGATCTAATACCCATAATCAAGAATAGACAATCAAGAATCAAGAAGAATGAATTTAAGAATAAAGATTATGGACCAAGAAGCAAAACCAAGAAAAAGAGTTAAAGAATCAAAGAAGACAAAATTCAATTTTAAAAGTGAAGAAGTCAAACATAAAAAGATTGCAGTTTAAATTTCAAGATTCAAGATTCAAAATCACGATCTAGTAATAACGAATTATCCCCAAAGAATTAAGGTATGTTCTATATTATTATTATTATTTATTATTTTTTTTGTGATTTGAGATGAGGATCTTGACAATAAAGGAATTTAAGTTTTCAAGTTCTATAGTTTCTGATTTTATAAAGTTTAAAGTTTCATGAAGTTTCAATAAGTGGTATCAGAACTGACTTCATGTTAAATCATTGGGATTAAAAAAAAAAAAGGAATTTTGTTGATGAAATTCATATATTGAGTTTTGGAATATGAATTTTAGCCATAAATTTCGAAATTCATAATTTTTTGAAGATAGAATATTAGGTTGATAGTTATAATTTGGATTTTTCAATTTAGGATATGAATGTTAACTCCAAAATTTAAAAATTTAGATTTTCTCTGGTGCTTGATGACTACCGTAAGGCATCGCGACTAAAGTTGCGGCACGATCACCTAGCGCCCGAAACTTATTTTATATTGACATCAAAACTTATGTTCAACAATGCTGGTGCTAGATAAAAATTTTCATTCTTAAAAATAATTCTAAGTGATGCTTATCGGTCAGCAGTGAAGTGGCATTAGTTGAGAGAGAGAAAGAGAGAATCAATGTGCGTTATATTTTAATTATATATTTAATAATTTGATTTATCATCTGATTTATGAAATTTTTTTAGGAAGTTTTTTACTTTTGAAATGTGTAGTATTTACGTATTCTTTCCTTCTTTCTATTCCCATATATTCATGCCCAAGTAGATGAAAGCAGGTCTACTTGTCACATCAACCCAATGATTGCTTTTCGAAAATTTTTATATATGGGCCGTCATCTGCTGTATTTCTTTCATCTTTCAGGGCAGCACACTAATTCCTTCATTCGAAGGCAAAATTTATTAGCCAATTTTTTTTTTTTTTTACCTATCAATGCTTCAACTCAATATTAAAATTTTCATAACGTGTTCTTTCCACTTCTAAAATTCTTTAGTTTTTTGACCAAATTATGTCTTTATAGAGTGATTTCATGACATGATTATAGAATCATTGCTTTTGTAATGTAATTTATAGTCGAATACCATTTTTATACTGGGTCATCTTTAAAATGACAATCAAGTAGTACAAACATATGTTTATGGACGAACAATTTTAAAATTTACCTCTTAGAACGATTATCGATTTGATCAAACGCAACATCGAGATTTTACTTGATAACTCATGCTACCGCAACATAGACAATGCGCTATTTCTCTCGTAAGTTGGGCAGTCATATCAATTTCTCTCGCCTGTGGGGGTGGTGAGGTAGGCAATGACTGGCTGGGAGAGCTGCTGCAGGAGTTGCACCAGTGTTTTCTCTTACCCTCTTGAGAATACATCTTCGTCAGAACTCATTTTTCTGTATTCCAACTTCAAACTTGACCAAATTTCCTTTTTTTCTTTTTCAAGAACAAATTATTTTTCAAGGGGAATGCCCAACTATTCTTTCAACAAGTTACAGTGTGACTTCCCAAGGATGGTGCCAATCTGTTTTACCTCGTTTTCAATTAGGGTCACGCGGACAACAGATGCTGGACCCACTTGCACATACATAAGTCAAGTCCAACACGCTAAGACAAGTAAAATGTTTGGAATGGTCTGAAACGGGGCGTGGAAGCAGCTCAACAACGTGAGACAACAACATTCGAAATCGGATAATACATTGGTGGAACGATTGTACAATAATTACCAATCGTAGTGGATAAATATTATGTAAACTCGGTCGTATTGCGGGAGAGCAAAATGAAGCGTATTGTTCTACATTTAATACTATATTAAATCTTGCATTAGTCTTTTACAAGAGTTGTATACAAGAGTATTTATAGTAGTACAAATGGAATGGTGGCCCTCGGAAGGAGTTCATGTGGCCTCATCTTTTTAATTCATACATCTAATCCTAAGCATCATTTTTGACTTGTTAGCCCACTATGCATTTATTAACTATGCAGAGCCACCATTTTACTTGACAAGACTTGACACTTAAATTTTTTGACAAACGTCACATTAGTTATTCAAAGAAGATATTTGTACAAAAGTGGATCTCTTGGAAGAAGTGATTATGTAAGTGCTTCGAAGGCTTAGACTTCGGCATAGGGGCCTCGGAGAACACTGCCTCGGCTAACTGCCCATCTGGGCTTCATGATGTTGAGCCTCAGTCGAAGCGCCAGCCCCGATTGTGTTGCATTCCACTTTGCCTTTGGGGCCTCGACCACAGTGCAGTGTGCTTCGATTTAAGTGGGCCAAGGGCTATAGTGGGCTGCCCACGTGGAACCACGTGTGATAAGACATAACAAACATGTTTGAGAATAAGAAAGAATAAAGTGTGGCTTCGTTAATTTAATCCTCCACATATTTTTCTGCCACAATAGGTCACAACTACCATTTTGCTCTCACAATAGAGAGGCATTTGGAATTCATAAAGTCATGTTTGTATCGTTTAATAATTTGCAAGCTATACTAATTGTTTTAATGTTTCGGTTTCTCATGAAATTGTATTCTTGGTTATAGCTTATTTGAAGCTAAATTCATCCATATATCCACAATTGATGGTACATTGCAATGAGAACTACATCTGTCTTCGTGCAGGTTTGAGTACAACTGAGTAACACATTACTTTTCCTACAACTTTTTCTACAAGTTTAAATTGCGAGGAAGATTGATCAAGTTGCTCGTGGAATACATTATGGAATGCTCTTACTCGAATAAGTTTG